AGGAAGTGGCGGAGGATGAGGAGGACGAGGAGGACGAGGAGGACGAGGAGGACGGCAAAACGAAACTTTGCGCTCGGGTGTGCTCTGGTCGTCGGGGTGTGGCGTTGGCCGGGACTCTCGACCCTGTCCCCTTGGATTGAGGGGCCCTTCTCCCTCTCCCTCCCTCCCTCCCTCCCACCAGAACAGAACAGGAGGAGGAAGGATGATGGAGGAGGGGGAGGAGGAGGAGGAGGAGGAGGAAAAGGAGGAGGAGGAGGAGGAGGAGGAGGAGGAAAAGGAACTTGAGGAGGAGGAGACTCTCGGCCCTGTCCCCTTGGATTGAGGAGCCCTTCTCCCTCTCCCTCCCTCCCTCCCACCAGAACAGAACAGGAGGAGGAAGGATGATGGAGGAGGGGGAGGAGCAGGTCCCAGGGAAAGAATCCTGAGGTCCGGGGGCAGGCGCCTCGGATATTTGGGTGAAGCGGTGGCGGGTCGGGGTCCACGCAGTACTTATATAGCGTTTTCGGGACCAACGGGATACTTATATAGCGATTTCGGGGCCCACGGAATACTTGTATAGCGACTTCGGTACCAACCGGGTATTTATATAGCGATTTCGGGGCCCACGCAATTTTTATATAGCGATTTCGGGACCCACGTAATATTTATACAGCGATTCGGGACGCATTCCGAACCTCTCTACGAGGTGCGCGGGCCGGGCTGCAAGCTGCAGTCGGCGGCAGAGGTGCGCGGTGCTGCCGCCTTCCTGTCGCGGCACCGGGTCCTCGGCAGGCTGTTCGCCTCCCTCGGCGTTCAGCCGTCCAGGCTGGGGCGGCGTTTCCTGGCCGAGCACGCGGACTGTGCCGTCCGGAAGTACCTCGACGAGGTAGGGAATGCCGCCTACAAGACAACTTGTCGCGCCCCCGCGCGCGAGGAGTTCGTCGAGCGGTGCAGGGGCCCCGCCAAGGAGCGATCCTACCGGGCAGCCCTGGAGACTCTGCGGCGCCTCACGGCGGCGCAGTAGGTCTTTCCCCCCGCCCCCTCGCCTGGGCGCCGGCGCGCTCTTCGCCCGCCGCCCGCGCCCCGCCGCGCCGCGCTCCGCGCGCAGCCGTGCGAGGGCGGGCGCTGGCGGCGCGCGGCGGCCGCGCTGGCCGAGGACGATGGGGAGGGAAAAGGGGGCGCTAGGGAGAGGGGGGACGGGCGCGCGGGGGGGGGGGAGGGAGGAGGGGAGGGGCGAGGGAGAGGGGGGAGGCGGGGGGCGAGGAGGGAGAGGGGAGGATGGGGGGGGAGAAGGAGGAGGGGGGGGGGGCGGAGGGGGAGGAGGACGAGCTAGGTGCGCTCGCGTCATATCTGACGCCCCGCCCCTCCCTCCCACCCCGCGCCGCGGCGCTGATTTTCTTTACCGCGGACGCGTGTCGTCTCAGACCTGCGCGTGGCTCCGCGCGCGCGTGCGTAGTGGGCGGCGGCGCGCGCGCGCGTGCGTGCGCGCGTGCGTGGCCGCGGCGGCGGTTGTGGCGGTGGCGGTGGTGGTGGCGGCGGTGCCGGTGGTGCTGGCGGCGGCGGTGGCGGTGGTGGTGCCGGTGGCGGTTGTGGCGGCGTTGGTGGAGGTTGCGGTGGTGGTGGCGGTGGCGGCGGCGGCGGTGGCGGCGGCGCGGCGCGGCGGTGGCGGGCGGATGGGCGCGCGAGAATGAGGCCCGCGCTGGGGCGAGGACGCCGTCCTGAACGACGGAGGCCGAACGCCGATCCGAAAACGAGGCCCGCGCTGCAGCGGGGACGCGATTCGGAACGATTCGGGAGCAGAAATGAGGCCAACGCCTCAGCGAGAGCAGCGTTTCGACACAGAAAACGCGAGCGAAAACTCGTTTCCCGGAAATCCTGCGCGTGAGAAGCAGCGCGCGGGGGGGCGTCGGATATCTTCGGGGCGCCATGGGGGGAAATGGGGGGGCGTTTTCATATAGTGTAATTGCGGAGGACGAGGAGGAGGAGGGCAATTTCAACCCGACAGCGTCAGACGTGCTTCGTGAATTTCGTTGCGCGCGCCGATGGCCCCCGCTCGGGTTCCCTAGACGTGATATTTCGCTCGAGGCGCCCTGGGGGACCGCCCAGAAGAGCCCCGAGACGGCCTCTGACGACCCAGGGTGGCGCCGATAATGCCTGATGAGATGACGACGACGATGGCGATTATGATGATGGCGACGGTCGCGGCGATTCGGATGGCGACGATAGCGGCGGCGCCGATGATGGCGGCGAGCGCGGCGACGGCGGTCGGGCCGATGACGACGATGATGACGACGATGAAGATGTGAACGATTATGACGCTGAAGATGATGCTGGCGGCGACGACGATGACGACGCTGACGATGGTGACGTTCATGAGGGTGAGGGTGAGGACGATGACGAGTCTTCACAATAAGTGGTCGATGATGCTTTGGGGCACCAGGGGGTCCACCGTGGCCGCCCCGCACAATAACTTGTCGATGCGGCCCCGGAGAACCAGGGGGGCCCCAGGTAGCCGGGGGGGAGGGGGGAGGGGGTCGGCCGCGGCCTTTTTTTCGCAGCGGCTGGTCGATAGTTTGCGATAGTGAATTGTTGGAGCCACGCGCGTGCTGCGCTGGAACGCCGGGTTGCGGCAGTGAGCTCGAACGCGCCCAACAGGGGCGCCGATTTGCGTCAGCGACCTGTCGTGGCCACCTGTATTACATTTGATCGCGATGGCGCTGCGAGTTCTTGCGCAATTCTCCCATTTCACGCGCTTCCCGTTCGTGTCAGGAAAAGTCGCCCGAGACATCCTCGCAAACATTGGATGCCCAGAAAACCCCTGTAATACATCTTGTCGGAGCGATGTCGGATGGCCCCCAGGATGGCCCAAAACGCGAAAATATTGAGAACCCGCGTGTTTTCAACGCTGTCGTTGAAAAAGCAACGCTTCGCTCGAAACATCCTCAAACAAATGCCGTCGGACGGGTCTTCGTTCCTTTCTTTTGTTTTTTGTTTTTTTTTTTTTCTCTCTCTCTCTCTCTCTCTCTCTCTCTCTCTCTGTCTTCGTTATTTTTTTTTCCTCTCTCTCTCTCTCTCTCTCTCTCTCTCTCTCTCTCTTTCTCTCTCTCTCTCTCTCTCTCTCTCTCTCTCTTTCTCTCTCTCTCTCTCTGTCTTTCCTTCCCCCCCCCTGCCCTTTTTAGCTTTTGGGGTATATTATGTTGTGCTCCTGGTCTTTCCCCGCCGTGCCCCTTCGCTTTTGGGGTCTACCTCGCCGTGCGCCTATGCTATCGGGGTCTACTTTGCCGCGTTCCTATATTTTTTGTGTTGTTTTCCTCTCCTTTCTCCTTGTCCGCCGTGCTCCTTCGCTCTTGGGGCCTGTTCTGCCGTGTTTCTTTGCTCTTGGGGTCTATTCTGCCGTGTCCCCGGTCTTTTTTTTGTCCGTGTTATTTCGTTCTTGGGGTCCATTTTGCCGTGTTCATGTTTTTTTTTTTTTTTTTTGCCGCGCGCGCCCAGAAGCCCCGCCAAAACGACCGCCGCAACGACCCCCACGGCAGAAAGCACAGAGCGCACAGAGGCACGGCATAACACATAACCACGGCAGAACAGGAACGCGGCATAACACAAAGGAGCGCCGCAATGCACACCCCGCACGCACGCCGACACGCTTGCCACGGCATGCTTGCGCAGCGTAACAACAACACCGCATATCCCACATGCTTGGTGGACCAAAGCGACGCTTCCCGTTCTTGTCCGGTCAGGTCTCCTTTAGCGTTTGGCGGAGCGCACGTGATTTTCGAAAAGGAGCACGGCATAACATTATCATTTCGTTGGGGGCATATTCAAACAGTGAAACATTCGCAGCGTCGCCTCGACATTGCTCTCGAAGTGCTTCAATATGAAGAAATGATAGCCCCAAAAGGGGCCCAAGATGGCCCCAACAGCGCCCTGGAGACTGCCGAAAATGTCAATGTATATGGTGTTTCTGCCATGCTCCTGGTATATGTCTGATTTGTGGGTCCGCCGTGTTCCTTAGCTCTTGGGGTCTATTCTGCCGTGCTCCTGGTCTTGTTTTGCCGTGCTCCTCCGCTCTTGGGGTCTATTCTGCCGTGTTCCCGGTCTTTTCTCTGCCTGTTCCTTATCTCTTGGGGCCAATTTTGCCATGCTCCTGGTCTTTTTCCGCCGTGTTCCTTCGCTCTCGGGGTCTATTCAGGTGTGCTCCTGGTCTTTCTCTGCCGTGCTCCTTCGCACTTGGGGCATATTCAGCCCTACTCCTCAGCTCCTGGGGTGAATTCTGCCGTGCTCCTGGTGTTTTTCTGCCGTGCCCCTCCGCTGTTGGGGCTTATTCTGCCGTGTTCCCGGTCTTCTTTTGCCTGCTCCTTGGCCTTCGGGGTCTATTCTGCCATGTTCCTGGTTTTTTTCCGCAATGCTCCTTCGCTCTTGGGGTCTATTCAGCCGTGCTCCTTTGCTCTTGGGGTCTATTATGCCGTGTTCCTGCTTTTGTTCCGCCGTGCTCTTTCGCTCGTGGGGTCTATTCTGCCGTGCCCCTGATATTTTTTCCGCCACGCGCGCACAGAAGCTCCGCCAAAACGACCGCCGCGACGATCCGCACGGTAGATTACAGGAGCACGGCAGAACACGCAGGCAGAACAGGAACACGGCAGAACACACAGCAATACAACAAAACACACCCCGCACGCACGCCGACACGCGCGCCACAGCATACGTTTGCGGCGTAACAACAGCTGAGCATATCCCACATGCTTGGTGGACTGGGGCGACGCTTCCCGTTTTTGTCCGGTCAGGTTCCCCCATAAAATGGCCGTTTCGCTCGAATCATCTTCACAACATCGTGAAGTTGGGGGTCGTGTCTTAAGACGTGTGTTGCTAAAAGTGGGCGTTCCGCACGAGACATTTTCGAAACATGGAGATGTTGAGGTCGTTTCCGGATCCGAGCCGCATATAAAACATTGGCGTTCCGCCCGAGACATCTTCAAAAACATGGGATGCCGACGCATCTCTTGTAAGGCATCTTTTCGGAGCGATATCGGATGGCCCCAATATTGCCCAAGAAACGAAAGTATTGAACAACCCACGTGTGTTTAACATTTTTGTTGAAAAAAAACCAGCGTTTCGCTTGAGAGATCCTCCAACAAATGCCTTCGGACGGGTCCTCGAAACCATCTGGTTTCCTCCTCCTCCTCCTCCTCCTGCTCCTCCTCTTCCTCCTGCTCCTCCCTTTCCGCCTCCTCCGTTTCCTTCTCCTCCTCCTCTTTCTCCTCCTCCCCCTCTTGTTCTTGCTTCCCCACCTCCTCCTCCTCCTCCTCCTCCTCCTCCTCCTCCTCCTCCTCCTCCTCCTCCTCCTCTCGTTCTTCTCCTCCTCTTCCCTCCTCCCCCGCTCTCGTCCTCGTCCTCCTCCTCCTCCTCCTCCTCCTCCTCCTCCTCCTCCTCCTCCTAATGTTCCTGTTCCTTGTCCTCCTCCCCGTCCCCTCCTCGCCCTTTTGTTCCTGCTCTTGCTGCTGCTGCTGCTGCGGGTCCCCCTCCTCCTCCTCCTCCTCTCCTCCTCCTCCTCCTATCCTCCTCTCCTCCTCCTCCTCCTCTCCTCCCTCCCTCCTCCTCCCCCTCCTCTCCTCCTCCTCCTCCCTCCTCCTCCCCTCCTCCTCCTTCTTCCTCCTCCTCCTCCTCCTCGTCCTGTTCCTCCTCCCTCCTCCTCCTCTTTCCATTTTCTCCTCCTCCTCCTCCTCTTCCTCCTCCTCCTCCTCCTCCCTCCTCCTCCTCCTCCTCCTCCTCCTCCTCCTCCTCCCCCCCTCCTCCACCACCCCCTCCTCCCGCGATTGTCGTTTTCGCCGTCGTCGTCCTCCTGCGGAGGAGTGAGGGGGATACTCAGGAAGATGCTAGTAAACGTTCGGGGGGGGCGTGTCCATGCGTACCCTTTTGTGGGCGCTTGGCGAGCTCGCCTGTATCACATTTGACCACGATGATGTTGCAAGTTCTTGCGCAAATCTTCCCTTTCACGCGCTTCCAGTTCATGTCAGGAAAGGTTGTCGGATCCTCGAACATGGGCGTCTCGCTCGGGACATCCTCGAAGCAAGGGCGTGCCGACGCAGATCTTGTAAGGCATCCTTTCGGAGCGATCTCGGATGACCCCCAAGATGACCCAAGAAACGGAACCAT